TGCTCAGGCTTCCTTCTTGGCTTCTCCTTCTGAAGCTTTGGGCATTCATTCTTGTAGTGCCCAGGTTCTTTGCATTCATATCAGACAACCTCCTTCTTTCCAGATCTTTTGTGCCCATAAGACTCTTTGCGTTGATCTGGCTTCTTGAAGTTCTTGAACTTCCTCTGTTTATGCTTCCAGAGTTTGTTGATCCTTCTGGACAGCAGGGACAATTCGTCTTCTTCTTCATAAGAAGAGTCTTCAGAACTTTTTTCTAAAACCTGCAATGCTTTAACAGATTTGTTAGACTTTAAAGCAATTGACTTACCTTTCTTTTGAGGCTCGTCTTCTTCAAGTTCAATCTCATGGCTCCTCAGAGAGCTGATTAGTTCCTCCAATGTGATCTTGTTCAGATCCTTAGCTAGCTTTAGAGCAGTGACCATTGGTCTCCATCTGATGGGCAAACTTCTGATGATCTTCTTAACATGATCAGCAATAGAGTAGCCTTTGTCCAGCACTTTTAATCCAGCTGTGAGGATCTGGAATCTAGAGAACATAGCTTCTATAGATTCAGATTCTTCCATTTTAAAGGCTTCATATTTCTGGATCAGCGCCAGAGCCTTTGTCTCTTTAACTTGTGAGTTCCCTTCATGAGTCATCTTCAAAGACTCAAACAAATCAAATGATGTTTCTTTGTTGGTAATCTTCTCATACTCAGTATGAGATATAGCATTTAATAAGATTGTTCTTGATTTGTGATGATTTCTGAACTCCTTCTTCTGAGCTTCAGTCATAGATTTTCTATCAATTTTCTTGTCATCCCCATCAGTGGGGTGAACATAACCATCAATGACTAAGTCCCAAAGATCAGCATCATATCCAAGGAAGAAACTCTCTATTCTGTCCTTCCAATAGTCAAACTTCTCCCCATCAAACATAGGGGGTTTTGTGCTGATTCTATCCCTTTCTTCATATCTGTTGCTGTTGGATGTTGAAGCTTCAGCCATAATATCAACCAAAAAAATATCAAGAGTTTTCTCAACTGGATCTTTTCTGTTCACGGTGAAGTGATAGCACACACAGAACCGGAGCTCTGATGCCAACTGAAGGTGAGAAAATACTTAGAAGGGGGGTTGAATAAGGATTTTCAAATAATTATGGCAATAAAAATACAATGATTTTTATCCTGGTTCGTTGAACTCAACTAATCCAGTCCACCCTATCAAAAGTGATTTGCCTTTCTCCACAAGGACTTAATCCACTATAATCAAACAGATTACAATGTCAACCACTAAGAACAATTGTCTTAGTCTTCTCAAGAACTACTGACCACAACTTGGTCTTCTTAAGGAACTTTTACAATCAAATGTAAACTAAACAAGTGTTTAAAATGCTTCTAAGAAAGCTATATCACAACTGTGATTTAAACACTTAAGATTAAGAACGTATGAAACTATTCAACAAAGAAATATAATTTGTATGAGAGCTTTGAGAGATTTTTCAATGAATTTGTCAAAATACGTCAATTATAGAAAGTTGTTGAAGGCTTGCTTTTATAGACAAAGAAGTCCAAGACGTTGCAAGCTTGAAGACCGTGTACTGCAAAGCAGCTGTAGCCTTTTGTCTTCATATGACTTGACCTTTCCTAGGAGTAGAACGTTCAGAGAAATCCTTTTTGCCTGAGTTCTTGTGTCTAGCATAAAACAGGAAAGAGCCGTTTGGAATATGCCAACGGATATAACCTTGAATAATCTTTTTCAACAAACTTCTATTTCACAGCACTCATCATCAAAGCCTTGAGTGATCAGAGTCTTGATGTCATCAGAGTTTGCTGTATCAGAGTGTTGCAGCAAGTGTGCTTCAGCGTGAGTAATAATCAGAGCAGAGTTTAGAAATCAGATCCTCAGTACTTGCAGCGAACAGTACTATCAGAGTCTTCTGAAAAACGGTGCTCGAAACTCTTCATACAAAGTCTTCAGTTTACACTTCAGATGCTTCTGTAGCTTCTGCTTCAGAGTCTTCTGTAGGCAGCACTCAGATTCTTCTAACGAGATGCTTCTGACGCTCAGAGCCTTGCGTAGTTCAACGTTCAGATTCATTTTTGCTTTCAGAAGAATATTAAATTTAATATCTGCATCAAAAATACTTGAACAAATTTAGAGTATATAATTTCTTAATACAAAATTTTATTAGTGTTATCATCAAAACATAGAGATATAACTAAGAATCAATCTGTGTTCTATCAGAACTTTGTGGTGTAGTGGAAGGATTAAGATTAGCAAAAAGAAATTGAGTTTCGAGCATGGACATAGACACGTTGCCAACATTGTAGGCATGTGCCCCCACTTAGTTTTGACTTCTAGATAACACTGCTATGTGTTTCAAATGCCCATATATAAATATAATGCAAAACCATATACACCATAATCCCATAATGTATATGTAACTATTATAATCATATCTATATTCTATTTTATCTATCTTTATCTTAGTTTATTTTTTTAAAGCATGCATATATAACTTTTTACATTTAAATTTTACATATTTATTCATTATTTTTAAATATAAAGTATAATATATTGATTAATAAATTATTTCAAATACTTAATTTATTTTTTAAATTTAAAAATAAAAAATTTAAACTTATCATAAATTTATATGTAATATTGCTCACACTACTCAAATTTTCTAACTCCGTCTCTGGTTTCAAGCTATTGAATTTCATATAGATTTTAAAGTGGTTGTTAAAAATATTTTGGATTCTAGATGAGATAGTATAATTGAAATGTGATTGGTACAACAAATTTAACAGTTGCTCAAATTAGATTGGCATGTACTTGCCAACATGGAGTGATATAGGTCCAAATTTGATGTTTAATGAAAAAATTATTGTTCAAATTTATCTTTTTTTATTAGTTAGATTGTATTTGAGTCTCTACTTCTAAATTGATTGTTATGTACTCTTTTCTTTTTGGACTTTGCCCTTTTTTTCTGTAAAAATTTAAATAAATAAATACCCTTTTTTTTTAGTAAGAGTTGGGGAGAATGACTTTCATATTGAGTAAATTGAGATACCAATGAACCATAATGATATTGATAATTTTAATAAGTAATTGATTTATTGATATTGTAAAGTGGTAAATATTTTTGCAGGTAATGCATTTAACAAGTCTAATCACAATTCCCATTCACAAGGGTAATGAGTTAAGTGATGATTTGGCTTTAGTGTTCATCCTAGAAAACAGGTGATAAAGACATGCAACTATAATGTGCATGATCATGTTTTATTAAACAATGAGGAAGCTTTGCATAGCTATCAGTAGCCAGATTAAGGACAATAGTGTTTCCTTTGATAGTAAACCAGTAACCTAATCTTTTCCCCTGCATATCCATTCTGGGCATAAGATAAGATGCATTGCCAGCTTGTTAGTTCCAGTGTCACATTCCATTAATGCTTTTACCAAAATGAATCACCATGATAAATTTCTTCTTTTTTGGGGAACAACAAGTAATGTTTATGTACTTTCTATAGTTTTTATGCATGTTTTAAATCAATAATTTAAAAATTTACGGTGGAACTGTTTATTAAATAAAATAAAAATATAAAATTAAATTTTATGGATGTTTCACACATAATTATATATTCACCACAACTGAACAAAATAAAATTTTTAAAAATTCATTACAAATTTACTACAACAATATTGATAGTATATATAATAACAGAACATAAATGTACACTTCATTTCAACCTCCATTTAAGAATAATTTCAACAATTAAAAAATCATAATAAGTTAAACTAATTCGCACCAAAGTTAAAATAATAGAGCATAATAACTAAGATAAAGTTTAACTAATTAAGAATGACTAAATTAAATAGGATAGGATATAAAAAATAAACGATACAATATATTTAATTAAACAACAAAAACAAATTGACAACAACAAATAATATTGACTTAAACGACAATCAATATTGAGTCGGAAACATCACTATGTTTGAAAGAGACGACCTAATAATTTAGAATGTAATTGAAAGAAAAACTATAACAGACTCACAAAACTTAAAAAATTATATGGTTGTAAAAAACCAATGAATTCTTTTTTTTTTAATTGGAGAATATATGTTAAGTTTTGATATTAACGTATTAAATTTTTTTTTAAATAAAAAAAAAATGACCAATTTGACGTTTTTTTAGTAGAACGATTTTACAAAACCAACTCTAGTTTTTTGTTACGAATGACTGGATTCATCTCCAATTTCCGATCTAACCGGTTGAACTGACTGATTCTGTCCAATTTTTAAAACATTGCTTTAAATACACCAAGTTATAAAATTTAATTTTCACTTTAATAAATATGATTAGGCTAAAATTGGTAATTAAAGAGTGAGGAGAGGACACAATAATAGATGAAAAATTAATATAATATTAGTTTTGATGAATCAGATATTGTAATTATTATATCTTATCTAAGATGATTGCTACTTTGATCAGTTTGATGGATTGATAATAAAAAGAAAATTTAATGAACATGATTGCAAATTTGAAACTAAAACTGACGAGAAATAAATGTTACTTAAATGTGTAAACGTTTATAAACCAGGTTAACGAAAAGATAAAGAATTGATAAAAAAAAAAAAAAAGTAATTTAAGATAAAGAACCATCCTAGTATATAAAATGAAGTAGCCACAACAATATCACATACATTACCCAAACAGAAATACTTCAAAATCATGATTGGGAATACATCAAAACAGTAATGTCAGACCAAACATGAATACTTCAAAATCACACGGAATGTTAGAAATTTTGAATCATGAAGGATAAACTATATTAAAATAATCCCACTGCTACACCTTTAACATTATCATGTTTATAATTTTAGAGGACCCATTCCCTTATTTGATACATAGAATGAATCCAATGCTGATACATCGACAAGGACGAGAAAATGTGTTTGAGAGCTCCGATGACAGCTGGAATAACTAAAATTAAGGGATAAAACACAGCAAAACATTTACCGCCTAAATGCATTGCCTTCACCTCCAGATTTGCCTTGGGAATAATGTGTCCGCCGTCGAACGCTCTCGGCTATTGATGAACTCCCCCCTTCTGCAGCACCATATATACTTTTTTGAGCATTATCCAAGAAATTCTTTCCAACAGAACTAGTATTCTGGATTGCTTCTTTTGCATCAATCTCCTCAGCCTTCTTTATACGTTTCCATCTCTCCCCTTCATGCAACTCAGCAGCAAGTTCCATCTGCCTAAGTTTAGCAGCCCTCTCTTCTTCTGAAAGCTTAGGAGCCACATTTCTCCGCTTATAGCGCGACTGTCGCTCAAGCGAAGTAGCAGAAGATCTAGTAGAGCTTGGTTCTCGAAAGCTCCCATTCTCCCTTTTAGAAACATCAAAATTGGCCTGACCTTCTGGAGCATATCTTCCTGACTTTGACTTGTTATCGTTTCTGTCATCAGCATCTTCTTTATAGTCTTTGACTTTGCTTTGACTCTGGTGGTGACTGGGTGATCTTTCTCTGTATTTTCCGTCTTCATAATGATTCTTCCTACTGTCATCAGCATCTTCTTTATAGTCATTGACTTTTCTTAGACTCCGGTGGTGACTGGGTGATCCTTCTCTGTATTTTCTGTCTTCATAATGATTCTTCCTTCTGTCATCAGCATCTTCTTTATAATCATTGACTTTTCTTTGACTCCGGTGGTGACTGGGTGATCCTTCTCTGTATTTTCTGTCTTCATAATGATTCTTCCTTCTGTTATCAGCATCTTTATAATCTTTGACTTCACTTTGACTCCGATGGTGACTAGGTGATCCTTCTCTGTATTTTTTGTCCTCATAGTGAACCCTCCTCCTCCTTTCTCCTTCACTTGATTCATTCTCTGAATCTGATTGAGCCTTGTGATGTTTCTTGTCAAAGTCTTCATCACTGGCCCTTCTTTTTCTCCTTTCAGCAATGTCATCTTCTGAATCAGACTGTGTTTTATGCTTTGATTTCGATCGATGCTTCTTTTTTTCCTTCTTACTGTGGTCTTTCTTCTTGTGTTCCTTCCCTTCAACCTGACATTGTTAACAAAGACAGACCCATAAATTAGAAAACTACATCAAACACAATTTTTCGGTGAAAGTAAACCATAACAGTTGTTTTTGTCATCCTGTTTAGGGAATACAATTTAAAGTTTATTTTGATTAGGAGTTTGGAAGGGAGGGGAAGGGCTTCCTGGAAAGCAGATTTGGACAAAAAATAGAGAAATTAACAATTTTTAAAACAATGATTTTGCATAGAATGATAATGAATGTTTATTATGAATATATTTTAATTTTCAAAATATTATAACATAGATTAAAAGTGAAGAATTTATGTAGCCCTCTAAAACCCTCCAAACCTTACATCCAATACAATTTTTGAGTTCCTCCAAACTAAGGTGTTTTTGTATTATGAAAATAAAATGAAACCCCCCAAACCCTCTCCACTTAATTCCCTCAATTGTTTTTACTTCTTCCTTCCATTTTTTCAAAACCCTCCCATCCAAACTCCCAAACAAAGCCTCAAGTGCAAGCGGTGAATTACAATTAAAAGCTCAATACATAATTTCAGAGTTATAGACCATTTAAGCCACAGCATGAATAAGAATAGCAGCCACAAATAGCACGATCACTCCTTAGGAGCTCGCATTGGGCATAGGGCTACATGGCATAAATGGTCCTAAATATAAGTTATGTCATCAACAAGGAGGAGGAGAAAAGGGAGAAATCACAGAAATTGTGGAAGCTGGGAAATGTATTTACAGCAGCAGAGCAGCAGTCAAAATCAAATCACATTTTTTTAGGAAATTCCTACAAATCAGAATGTTTATGGCAGCATAGTCGATTGGTTGGTTAGTACAGTTTTTTCAATATGTAACCAAAAAATATTCCATCCCTATGTTGTTAATAGCGGCTGGCACAGCCGTGATACTGGTTCGGCGCGAAATGAGAAAGCAGGTGGCGCGGCCGTGATCGCGGGTCGAATGCGGTCCAAAGTGACTGGTTTATTTGGTTTGGCTAAGTGTTTGTTTTCTTGAATTTTATTGTTATTTGGAAGTATGTTGCAATGCTTTGCTTAAGACTTATCTGTTTTAATAGTATTTGAAATTGGAAATATGCTATTAGAGCATCTTTAATGGGAGTAAACTAAATGGGTAAACTAAGATATTTTTTGTGGGCCCAAAGTGTTTTGTAGGATTTAAAAAATTTATAGTTGATTTGAGTAGTTTTTACTTTAATGATGGTTGTCTATAAGAAACCAAAACTTGACCCCACTATTTTCAAATATCATGCCATTACTTTAATGCTGTTGGAATATTTTATTAATTAAATAAATAATATTATAATATATTTCACATAGTTAACCTTAACTATATAGATAATGGGAACTAAATTTTAGTTCACTTAGATGTCATGTCAGCTCTACTATAATGCAAATTCTTTATTACTAACTTAAGTACGAAATACAAGTAACCAAACAAAAATTCACAGCTATGATTACTGTTAATATTTACAAGGCCACAACAACAACAAGAGAGATACTTACTGATTTTCTAATCATGGCCATCTTGACAGGATTGTTTTTAATCTTAGCAAGTGCTTCCTGTTCACGCTGTCGAATCATCAGCAAGGGATCCGAATGGAGCTTTCTCCAAGCATCATTCGCAGACTGAGGCTTGTCCTCAAATAAAGCTCCAGGAACACCTGCATCCTGCTACAACGCAAAATCCAGAATCAATTCACCAAATTCAAAACAAACCTAAATTCAGATTCAATCAACAACAAAGAGATTAAAAAAATACATCGTTTATACTAAAAAAAATACCTTAGAAGCAGAAGAGGAAGGTGCATCTGTTGCATCAGATTTGGGTACAGTTTCAAGGGCCTTGAAACCTTCAGAAGTCTTACCAACGGACAATCCCGAATCATATAAAAACTCCAACCTCTCCTGGTGACTACAATCAAAATCAGTCAAATTTTCAATTCAATTAGAAATTTCCAGTAAACCCTAACCCTAAAAAATAAATTTGGGATTTCTAATAAAAATTGAGAATTTAATCAAGGAAAAGAGAGATAGTGATAGAGAAATTACGGGACGAGGCCAGCTTTTTCCTGAAGCTGACGAAATTCGCTACGTTCACGTTCCTCTTGAATCTGCTTACGAAGTTCATCGAGTTTCTTCTCCTCCGCGTTATGCTTCTGCTCTGCTTTCCAAACGTTTTCTATGTTCCTGAGACTTCCCGTGTGCCATCCTTTCTTGTTCAAAAACTTCAACGCCATTTTTTCGTAATCTCTTTGGATTTGGTTGATTTCAGAGACAAGTAAAACACTGTTTCTTCAACGTTGCTTGCAACTCGGAGAGGAAAAACAGAAAGAGAGAAGCGATGAATTGCAATTGCTATTTTGTTGGCTCAACACGGATCGGGTCGGGTGTCCTTTTGAATTCTTTTCTCTGGATTGTTTTGTTTATTTATAAGTGTTTCTGATTTTCGGCTAAGAATACGCTAGGGCTGACTAAATATAAAGTATTTGTTTTAAGAGATTTAATTTTTTTTAAGTCAAAATATTATTGTTTAAATTTTTTTTTTTTATATTTGTTAACTTATATTTTTAGAGTACACATGTCAATCAACACAAAAATGTATCATCGCCACTCTTTTAGATTATTTTTTATGCGTGTGTTTTTAATTATGTTAATTTTTTAATATTACTAAATAATATTCTTACATAAATATTAAATAATTATTTTTTAAAATAAATTTGTGCATATGAGCAATAAATTTAACACTTTGATCAATATTCTTAATTTTCTTGATTTACACTAGTTTTGTTGGAAAGTTTGAAAGAAGGATTTTGAAAGGAAAAAAAATGAATGATTAACCATAAAGAATAGAAGAGTTTAGGTGGAGAGAGTTTTGAGTGTTTATTTTTATTCAGAAAATTAAAATTCTCTAATTTAGAAAAACTAAAATATTTTATTAGAGGAAAGGTTTTGAGAATTTTATAGAGCTTTTAAATATATAATTTATGTTGTTATATCATTTCAAAAATTAATAATATATTAATGATAAATACACTTCTATGAGTATATATAAAAAAATTAAAAAAAAATTAAAAATTTTCTATATTCTTTTATCTTTTAAATTATTTTTTGAAACTTTTTCTTCCTTTCCCCTTTAAAAGCTCCAACAAAGCCTAAAGGATGTTATAATTAGGAATGGAGGTTGCATCTTTTTAAAATTATAATATTAAAAACGCCTTTATCATATAAAAAATATTAAAATAAATATTTTTCAATTTAAGGAAACAAATAAAAAAGACATTATAAAGGGATTAAAGGGAACAAAAATTCATAATACAAACAAAGTAAAACGGAAAATAGTCTAAGCTAGACTATACTTCTTCATATGTTTTCATCATTTGGGTTATCATCGTCTTTGTTAACGGTTAGTATCACTGTGGGTTCCTCGCATCGATGATATGTTTCATGTCGGTGTTTTTCAATGCTTTTTTTTCATTTTTGTTCTCATTTTCTTTGGGTTTTCCTCTTACATGCGGAAAATATTATTTTATCTTTGCATGCGCGTGAAAGAAACTAATTGCTAAATCAATATATAAAATGGACCTAATTTATTCATTTTAATATTAAAATGGATTGATTTGGTTATTGATCTTTCTGAAAAAGAAGTCATTCACGTGATGGTGAAGTTGATTAAGTTCAAATGGTTTCTAGGAAGAAATGATGCACTCCAAATGTGGTTTGCCATCTTGCAAGGGGTGGTACCTGCAAGCACACAGGCGCTCAAGTAAGTTTCTATCATATGCTAGAGGTATTTTTATGTAAAAAGTGTGTGTACTTTGATTTGACGTTTGTCCCACCTTTTATATGGGTTTAAAGGATTTTGTATGGCCTACAATCTTCCAGATATAGATAGTTGTCCAAATGGACATATGTCGGGGTATAATTCACTCTATCATGTAACGGTCTTCCTTCAATCATTTGCATGAATCAGGTGTTTTCTTAAGGAAGATCTACACTTGTTGGTGAGGTCTTAAAACCTTCTTTAGGTCCATAGTTGGTGGAATGGTGCCTTTATTTGACGTTACTTACCTTACCTCATGATGACCTCTTATCTTTGATTATATGACCTTTTTTACCTTCGTTGATAGGTAATGGGTGAAAGTTTGTTAATGATCATACACGTCGTTGGCCATGAAATATCTCCTACCCTAGGAGGGAGTAGTTTTCCCCAAGCTTAGTACAACATACGGGGGGTTATATATATATATATATATATATATATATATATATATATATATATATATATATATATATATATATATATATATATATATATATATATATATATATATATATATATATATATATATATATATATATATATATATATATATATATATATATATATATATATATATATATATATATATAGGGGCATATCTAGTGAGAATGAGTAAGTTATATGAGAATGAATAAGAGTCACCAGATTTGAAAAGGAAAGGTTGAGATTAAAATATATTTTTAAAATTTGATTAATGATTTTTCTTTCCTCTTAATGACACGTGATTTAGTGGAAACCACGATTTAATCTCAACATTTCCTTTTCATATCTAATGGCTCTTATTCATTCTCACATTCTCATATAACTTACTCATTCTCACTAGATATGCCTCCATATATATATATTATATATATGTGTGTGTGTGTGTGTATATATATATATATATATATATATATATATATATATATATATATATATATATATATATATATATATATATATATATATATACACACACACACACATATATATATAAATATATATATATGGGGGGAATATCTAGTGAGAATGACTAAGTTATATAAAAATGTGAGAATGACTAAGAGTCATCAGATTTGAAAAGAAAAGGTAGAAATTGAAAAATATTTTTAAATTTTGATTAATGATTTTTCTTTCCTCATAATGACACATGATTTAGTGAAAACCGCGATTTAATTTCAACATTTCCTTTTTAAATTTGATGGTTCTTATTCATTCTCACATTCTCATATAACTTACACATTCTCACTAGATATGCCCCCTGTGTGTGTGTGTGTGTGTGTGTGTGTGTGTGTTATTTGTGCCTTCAACTATGGTGTTCTTCGTCGACCTAAATTTATCTTATTTGATTTTTAACTACACTATTTCTTCTCTGTTGAAATTTGAAGGGATGTCTATTGGTACTCTGTCATAAGAAGTTGGTTTGGTCTGACGTTATCTGATTGTGATTTGGGTGTTGTGGACTTGCTTCAGCCTTTGATGTCAGCCTTTACTTACTGAATGTATGGTTTCTTTCTGACTTGTTGCGTCTCGGTCAATGTAGAGTTATAGTGTGGAAATATTCGTATAGTTTTACGTCATTTTGGGAAATCCCTTTTTTTACTCCTGGTGTTTAGTATGATGTAGTGTACCTTCTAGGTCCCCTAGGGTTCTAGGTAAAAGGTATAACTAATAGATTCATGCTTCCCTATGGTTTAGATGTGATCATTGTGGCATGGGGAAATGTAGTTGTAATGATTTTTTTGTGCCATGTGTCTACTGTTGATTGTTCTATCGGTCTTGGAGTTTTTTTATAAATAGAGTTTCTTCATTCATTTGCATTTTTTGCTCCCCTAGCTCTTGATGGTTCAGTTTTTTTGTGCTTTTTTTTTACTTTGTTTGCTTGATTTATATGGTTTACTACAAGTGGCTCATTACTACTGATATCTTTGGTGAGTTTTTTTTCTTCTTATTTTTTTATGAAATACTTAAAGATTATTAGTAGTTTCAACTCCCTCTTCACCCATCTTCTTTAATAGGCTTTGTTCACTTGATTTCTCTCTTTGGGTTTGTTCTTATCTTGGTGGGAAAATCTTGACAACCTCTCTTTCCTAATCACATACTTTGGTATTTTGGTTTGGGTTTGTTCTTAGCCCCTAAACCAAGCCATGGCCCATGCCTTTCGGGTGAGGACAAAAAACTTGCATTTTTTTGGGCCTTTGATCCCTTGGAAGTTTAAGAGGGCACCAAGAAGTTCCTTGTGTTTGCCAGGGTCAATTGTCTCATTGTAGGTTCTCATCTGTTATGGTTTTTAGAGTTCCTTTTATAGAAGGCACTCGTTGATTCTTCTTTTAAAAGCATTTCAGAATAAGATGTCTTTATCCTTTTCACAAACATCAGAGGATGAGAAACGTGACATGAGTTGGCAATATTGATTGAGGCATCTCAAATTCTGACCTTTGGGTTTTGATCCCAATGGGGAATGTCTTTGTGGGAGAAGGAAACATGTCATGTACCTCTATTGTTCTTGTGGTGACTGATGTTAGGAAGACTTTGTCTAGTATTTATTCTAGTTTGTTACCATGTCATCATGGAGTTTAGGTAGGAGGAAATGGTTGGGATCAGTGGTCTCAACCCCTTAGAGTTTCTCGTTTCAATACTCTAGCGTTGTTGACTTTTGGTAAACCTCCATAATTAGATATTTTAATTGGATGTTAGTTTCAGTATTTTTCACGTGGGTCACCGAAATGGTGAGTTAGGGTGGGCCATCATCCTCTTCTTATGGGTCGTGCCAAGTTTTCTTCACCTAGTAGCTGAAGTTTGCGATTTACTGTGGGGACAAGGACAACTTCAATTGTTGGTGGAGGTTGAATCGGATCCTCTTGTATAGAGGAGGATTCCATGAGCCTATCTTCGAGATTGTAGTTTCTCATTGCAACCTCTATAGCAACAGATCATGGATGGTTAAAGTTTTGTGTTACTCCTTTGTCATGGTTTGCCATTCCAATGTTTGAGTAAGTGTTTGAGCATGGATGATCATTCACACACACAATGCCAATGATCCTTCCAAAAATGAGTCATTCACGTGGTGGTGAAGTTGGTCATGTATTGGTGATTTTTGAGAATATATTATGCACTCCAAATATGGTTCGCCATCTTGTGGGGTTTGGTATCTGCAAAAACATTGACGCCCAAGAAAGTTTATATTGGATGCAAAAGGTATTTTTATTTAAAAAGTATGTGTGCCTATATTTTACATTTGTCTTTTCTTTTATATGGAGTTTCTACGTTTTTAGGGCCTAGAATGTTCCAATGCAATATAGTTGTCCAAATGGATATATGATAGAGTATAATTTGTTGACGGACTCTATAACACCCCATTTAAAATATTTAGTCATTGTGTGTTGTTTGTGATTTTATAGACTTAATTAAGAGTATGTGGTTAAGGGTGAGAGGGAG